GACCATGATGTATGGCCCTTTCAGTGTGCTGCTGAATTCGGTTTGCTAGTATTTTGGTGAGGACTCTTACGTTTGCGTTTACCATGGATATTGGTCTGTAATTTTACTTTCCTGTGGTGTCCTTATCTGGCTTTGATGCCAAAGTAATGCTGGCCTTGGAATATGCACTCGGAAGTGTGCCCTCCTCTTCAGTTTTTTGAAGGAGTTTGAGAAGGATTGGTACTAGTTACTCTTTAAACGTCTGGTAGGACTCACTGTGAAACCATCGGGTCCTGGTCTTTTCTTCATTGGGAGACTGTTGATTATTGATTAAATCTCCTTGCTTGTTATTGGTCTGTTCAGATTTTCTCTTTCTTCACGATTCAGGCTTGGTGGGTTGTATGTTTCTAGGGATTTGTCCATGTCTTCCAGGTTCCCCAGTCTGTTGATGTATAACTGTTCATAGTAGTCTCTTATGAGCCTTTGCATGTCTGTAGTATTCGTTGTACTGTCTCCTCCTTCATTTCTGATTTTTATTTATTTGACTCTTTTTATTCTTAGTCTTTGTCAGCTTTGTTTATCTTTTCAAAACTACAGCTCTTAGTTTCACTGGTCTTTTCTATCATTTTTCTAGTCTCTCTTTCCTTTATTTCTGCTCTAATCTTTATTATTTCTTTTCTTCTGCTAACTTTGGGTTTGGTTCTTTATTTTTTCTCTAGTTACTTGAGGTATGAAGTTAGGTTGTTTATTTGAGACCTTTCTTTTTTCTTAATGTAGGCATTTATTGCTATAAACTTCCTTCTTAGAACTGCTTTTGCTGCATCCCATAAATTTTAGTATGTAGTACAGGGGACCCATGAATAACACAGGTTTGAACCGTGTGGGTCTACTTAGACGCAGATTTTCTCCAATAAATACGTATCATACTACTGTTCAGTCCTTAGGGGGCTGAATCTGTAGATGTAGGACTGCAGATATGGATAACCACATCTTCAGTGGGCCGATAAGTTATGCAGATCATTGACTGAATGGAGAGTTGATGCCTGTAAACCCTGCATTTATTCAGTGGTCAACTACATTTCCATTTTTGTTTGTTCCTAGATATTTTAATTTCCCTTTTGATCGTCTTTGATTTCTTCATCATACTACTTTTAAGAGGCTGCCATCACTTAAAAACAAAATTCTGAAGTTCTTAGTCTGGAATCCAAGAACTTCCATAGTGTGGCTCCAGATGACCATCTAACTTGAGTTCTAGCTTACCTTCCCCAGACGCTGCCCTGCAGACGAACAGATTTACAGTGCGAATCTCAAGCCAGCCTTCCTTCCTTCATGCTGTCTCCACTGTCTGTAGTTCCTTCGTCCTGCAGTTCCAAGCCCTCCCATCCTTCAAGGCCCAGGTCAGAGGCCACCTCCCAGGTCTTCCCTTCCTGGTTGTCTCCCCCTCTGCACCTTTCTTAAATGGTAATGGTGGTCTTCCCATTTCTGTTCCTGCTCTCACAGTTTGTGTCTTAGCTCCCCTTCTGGAGAGCAGGGATCCTTACTAGAGACAGGTTCCTTATTATACTCAACAGCTTATTCTAAAGCCAGCACTCAGCCATCCATGTTCAATAAACAGTTGTTAGGTGAGTTGACTGACATTTCTACAAGGACTGTCAGAAGAACTTGCTAAAAGCTCCCATTGGCACATGTCTGCCACATCAGGTACTAAATGCTTTATATGTAGTAACTCTTTCAGCTCTCACAGCAATCTTTATGAGCCGACTTTCCTTAAAAGCTCCCATAGTACAGATAGGGAAACTGAGGCACAGAGCTGTTGGATAGGTTACTCAAGGTCATGCAGACTTTCAGTGGCAGAGCTGAGACTCTGAACCAGGCAGTCAGGGTCCAGACCCCATGCTCTTACCTTGCTCTGCCTTGCCAGAGGAGAGCGCGAGAAGTTAGCGGTCTCCTTACTCGTCTTCCTGACACCTGACACCTTGCCTACAGAGCTGTAGGCAAGTGACTGCCTGTCCTCTAGGTAGGTTTACCTTCACTGGGGCAAGGGGAGGCCCCGCATCACAGATCAGGAGCTAAGGTCAGACTAAAATATCAATACTGAATTAATTTTTGCAATTAAAATAGCCACACTTTAAAGTTCTAATACATCGTTGGTATTGATGCATACAGTGTGTGTATATAGCAAAAGAAAGAAGAGGACTGCAGACTGTTCGCTTTGTAAGAGAATATGTGAATTCTGTTTAGGACTTGCTAAGTGAACGGCTTTGCCAGGGTACTTGTAGCAAAGTATTCTAAGGGCAGACTGAAAGCCATGGTATCTCTCTTACCTGCGGGAGGTTGATCGCCCTGTGAAACTCTTGTTTGCTGTTATGGAAAGCAAAGGTCGAGGCCTGGTGGGCTTGGCACGGAGCGTGCGCCACATGCTGGGGGTCCGGCCACCTCTCTCAGGTGGCCGCCCCACTGAGGCTGAGCCAGCGGCCCCTGTGTTCCTGTGCTAACCCGTGTTAACCGTGGAGTGAGCGCAGCTTTCCTGCAGGACAGGCCTGGCTGGGGCCCCGCGATGAAGCAGGGGCTGCAGCTTGAGCTCTTTAACTTGTCCTCTTAGTTTTTAACTTGAACAGGACCATGGGCTGCAAGCTGTTCCTCTGAGGCAGCAGGCGCCGCGGGCGTCCCCCACTGAATGAAGCGGGAGGGGTGTCTGGAGACTCGAGGGAAGGGGGAGTTATCTTCTCTTTCCCAAAATGATTGGATGATCACATTTTAAACCTGTATGTTCCGTGGCTCTAACTCCTGGGAAGGTGTGGAAGACTGAGTTTTGACCGCTTTCTGCCCCTAAAATAGCTCCCTGTATGTTTGATTGGAGGCAAACCCATCAGATAAATACCTCTCACTTCTGTAATAGATAACGCCAGACAGCATTCAGAGACTAGGGATCTTTATTACGGTTTTAACGTTTCCTGCCTTACCACGACACATGTTCAGAGTAAGAACACTCAGGGAGTCAACTTTTAAGAACTACAAATAGAAATAAAAATCTTGACATTCCATAACCCAGAGATGACTTCTTCTAATGTTTTGTTTTAATATGCACGTATCATGGAATGATTCTGTGAAACTACCTGACAGCACTTTTCCCTCGGCAGTGCATCGTGAATGTGTCTGGCATCGTGAATACTACGTGGAGCAGTGAGAACTTGATTTTTTGAGTAGGTGTTACATTCACAGGGGTTGGATGTGTGTGTAGGAAGAGACCAGGGGGAAGTTTTGCTCCCACCCATTGTCCATCTGCCTACAAGTTACCCTCCGTTCTTCCACGGGTAACTGCCTCCTTCCCTGATGTTTTGAAAATCTTCCCAGTTACTTTATACAATGTGAGCAAATTTAAATATATATTCTTATTCCCTCACAACTTTTGCATAAAAGGTAGCATTTGTTCTGTGTATACTTTTTTTTTAATTTAGTTTTTTTGGGGGAGGGGTTGGGGAGGTAATTGGATTCATTCATTCATTCATTCATTCATTTAAAGTGGCGGTACTGGTGATTGAACCCAGGACCTAGTCCATGCTAAGCATGTGCTCTACCACGGAGCTCCACCCTCCCCTGCCCCATGTATACTTTTGCCCTTTGATTTTCTCACCAAGAATCTATCTTTCTTCTCTTTCTGCAACATTGTCAAATAGCTGCGTATTATTACCTTGCCTGATTGTGGTGTATATTATTTAACCAAGTCCTGATTTTTGGACATGAAGTATACAACTGTATACCACTCATGTTTCCTTAGGATAAATTATTTGAAATTCTCGGCTGGTCTTTTTTTCTCGTGTCCCAATTGTTCCTGAAAGCTTATACCACTTTATACGTCCCTCAGCAAGGGTTGTCAGCAGGTACAGAAAGGGAAATAAGTTAAAAGAGGCTCTTTGGCACAGTGAACTCTTTGAAAATTATATACAAGGAATAATAGGAACAAGGAAGCAGCAGTGGATTGGTTTTGTGAAGGTCTGGAAGGAGGGGACTCTGCGAGGGAGGAGCCCTCACTGAGTGTATTGGGCCCCATTTTGTTCCAAAGCGGATTTACAAAGCTTCAAAGTTCTTTATAACTGTACCTTCGTATTCAAAGGAAATAAAAATGAGGCATCTGCTCATCCCAGTTGTGTTTTGGAGGGACAGGCTGCTCCTTCCTGTTGCTCTGGGTTACTCATCTCTCTTCACTGTAGAATAATTTTCATTTATAATTTTAAGGTCACAGGAGATACAGGATATTCTAAATTCTAGTTCATATGCATATTTGTGTCACAGAGAATTATGAGTAATTAATGAGAAGTGCAAACATAGGGACACATTGCATTCATGTAACATTCCTTAAGAAAGTGAATGGAATGTAATTTCAAGGAAAAATACAAAATTTCTGCCGAGTCAAGCCAGCTGGTTTACATTTTCACTGGAGGATTTCAAATCATCAGTGTATTTCTGTTCTGTTAGCTGTATTTTAGAATGATAGAACATTTCTGTTCTGATTGGGCTGCAACTATTTAAACGAGTGGAAAAATGTTAGTTGTCCGATACGCTAAGCCTCAATTTCTCAATCCACTGCACAGAGCAGATTCTTCCATAAATGACCGCCCACCAAATTGAGAGTGGGCTGGGGAGGAAGATTCCTGACGGGTGTGCGTGTGTGTGTATGTATGTGTGTGTAACTGAAACATTTATTTGGAGATGATGTAACCTAGGTGCTGACCATCAAGTGACTCCCATAAATACCGGGCATGGGTGGTGATGGTGTGGGTGCGGCGCTCTGCGTGGTGGTGATTTACGGGATGGCAGCAGGGGAGGCTGAGCCTAACCAGGCTTCCTGAGTGAGGTCTCCGTCCCTCAGCCCGCAGGCCGGCGCTCAGTGATCGGTCAGCTTAGCATCAAAGCTGTTCATCTTCAGAAGCTTCCCTGACTTCCCAGGAGAACTGGGTGGCCGAGGTAGGACTGGTCAGGAGTGAACCCCACGTCCAGCCACTTCCTCACTCTCTCCGCAGCCAGCAAACGGAAGAGGACCCAGGCGTGCAGGCCCTGGAGATGCTGATAGACACGATCCAGAAGCAACGGAAAGATGTCCCGTGCAGGGACAACATCCCTGAGGCCTTCCAGGTTTACGACAAGGAGGCCTCGGGACTCGTGGACAGGGAGACATTCTTCAAAGTCTGCGACTCCTTGCAGCTCCCAGTTGATGACTCCTTGATCAAGGAGGTCAGTGGGGTTACACCCGGGGTGGACTGCGGGCGGGGGCCGCTCACTCGCTCCCAGAGGCAACTGCACCGTGTTTCGTTGTAACTGGGGAAGACTGGAGGTGTTCAGTGAGACCGCCTGTCAGCCCTGATCATCTGCCCTTGACTCTGGCACTGGTGTTCTTTCCTGACCGCAGTCGGAGGGCACCTCTCTAAGTGGGTGGGGCCGGACTGCGGGGAGTGGCCGTTAAGGGGGGGCCAGAGGTGGATTCACGCCGGACTGAGCAGGATGGTGGGAGTTCCTGACGCCTTCACTGCCGCTGCCCACCTCTGCCCATCATGGGGCTGGCCGGGGAGGGGCAAGACTACTGCCCCGGGCCGCGGCGTCCGCCTGCGGGGGATGACCCCGACCTTCCCCTCCATGGAGTTTCCACGTGAGCTGAAGAAGGCGCTTCACACCTTTCTTCCGTTATCAGCCCCTTTGGCCAGGGTGCCCCAGAAGCCAGAACAAACTTTCTGCCACCGTTGCGGCCAATTATCATTGAGACGTTCTCACTAAGAACATCGAGATGCTGTACACCTTCTTCCTAATGATACTTTAGCAAAAAGGGATGTTTGGAAGTTAAGACTCATCTAGGGAAGGCTTTGGTTTGGGGCCACTGTGACCAGCTTGGAGATGAGGATTTTTCAGACAAGACAGGGGAGGCAGATAGAGGGTGACTGTCCACGCGGGCCAGATGCCCACTTAGTCCCCAAGTCTCAGGCTGACAGCTCACCACTCAGCCTGTGACCTGCCATGGGACGGCGGGGGGGGGGAGGAGCTGCCTTCAGGGAAGGAGGGACCAGGAAAGCATGGGCGGGTGGATTCACACACGTCTTTGAAGTAACCGCGGCGAATCAGTGTACTTCCTGCCACTCACGGGTGAGTTTCATGGGGACATGGTTTGAGCAGGGACATGGCTCGAATTTTCTCTTAGGCTGTGATCACAGCAGCCTGCTCTTATAAGAGCCTTACTCTGTGCAGACTGGAGGGACAGTCTTGTATTTGAGTATAAACACCAAAATGCTTTGAAATGATGCTTTTATCAATAGAAATGTTAGCCCTGAAACCTGGGGCAGGCTGTGTACCCTGTGTGAGCTTTGATTTCAGTACGTGTAAGACGGGGGTGGTCTGACTACCCATCAGGCTCACAGGACCAGGTCAGAACCAGGTGAGGTTACAACTCTGAGCTGGGTCACAGAGAGGATGTGGGGACTGTCCCTAACGGTCCCATCTGTCCCCCCCCCCCCTCGCTCTCCCCCGCAGCTCATCAGGATGTGTTCTCACGGAGAAGACAAGATCGACTACTACAACTTTGTCCGCGCTTTCTCAAACTGACCCACCGGGGAGAGGATGCAACACGGCCTTTGGAGGTTGGGCCTGCGTATACCTTGTACTCTTGACAGAGCTCTTAAAATATTTCTTTTCTGGTTCTTCTATTTCGCCACCACTAATACTATTGAATCCTAAATTAAATTGGCTCTCTCAGGAGCTGAGGTCAGTGCCTTATTTGGGGAGGAGGGTTAGGGGTACTGTGATGGTGAATTTTGTGCGTCAGCTTGACTGGGCCGTGGGGTGCCTGGACATCAGGTCAGACCTTATTCAGGCGTGTCTTGGGGGCTGTTTCTGGATGAGGTTAACAAGTGAGTTGGAGGGTGGAGTAAAGCAGATGCCCCCCGCCTGCTCCCTCCTCCACTAAAGGCTTGAATAGAACGAGGAGGCCGACCCTTCCCTGATGAGAAAGGATTCCTCCTGCCTGACTTGACATCAGCGTTTTCCTGCTTCTGGACTCAGACTGAAGCATTGGCTCTTCCTGGGTGTCAAGCCTGCTGGCCGGGGACAGGAACCACACCATCACCCCTCCTGGGTCTGCTGACTGCAGAGGGGGGAGCTCGTCCACCTCCAGGGTTATGGGAGCCAATGCCCCATGATCCGTCCCTCCCTCCCTCAGTGTGTATACAGCCTGCTGGTCCTGTGTGTCTGCAGAAGGAACCCTGACTGATACAGGTACAGAAGATTAAGAGCAGGAGGGCAGGAGAGACATCACGTGGTGCGGGGTGTTGCTGCTGCCCCCAGACTGTAGGGAAATACCGTGTTTTCCAAACTGGGCTTCCAGGCCCACGCGTAGATCTGCATTTTAAAAATGGGATCAGATAGGGGATAGAGTGTGGTGCACGGACCTATCGTTTCATGAAACTTGTTTGAAATGAGTGTGTATTTCCTGGGTCATGATGGAAAATGTATTTTTTGATGTGTAGTAGGAAAAAATTTTAGAAAAGCGGCTTTTAGAGAGCCTGGCCTTGAGGTAAGAGGAAGACTGGCAGCAGCTACTGGCCATCGACGGAGCTCCGGGGGCGTGGCCACCAACTTCGTCTTCCTAAACGCTCTCGGATCCCTTCCTGCTGCCTGTCCTCTGCGCCACCAGGGGCCCTGAAAATAACTGGGGTGTCTCAGACGTGGATCTATAGGCTGTAAGGGCATCTGGGACTAATAGGTGAGAAGATGTCTCTAGATGTTTCTGGAACATCCAGGGTCACTAGGGTGAGTATCCTGCTGCCGTAAGAGCATGAGCAAGTGCCTTTGAGAAATTAATTCACCGCAGGCTGTATTTGTACCAGGAGCTTAGCATTCACTGTCCCTAAATCTCACCAGCACCACTCCCTGCAGGAACAAGCCAGCAAACAGCCAGCACCGCCCCCACCGGGCACAGATGAGCACGGGCTCGGGGTCACCCTGCTGCTCCCGCAGAGCTGCTCGCCCTGGGTCTGCATTCCTGCCTGGTCCTCACGCCCCGTGGTGTCCTTAGCTAACTGCCACCTCTGACTCATCTCCTGTGCTCTCCCTGAAGACAGTTCTGGAAGACACAGCAGACAGCCAGGGTCAGGCAGGCCATGTGAGTGACGCCGCCGTGCCTGGGGCCACCTAACCCACAACTAACATGAGGACACCTGTCCAGCACCAGCACCCGCCGTTGCTACCCTGAAACGTAACCACCTTCTCCCAGCCAAGTGACGTCAGGACACAGGAGTCCCCCCACCCCATCCAGACACCCACGGTCAGCCGCAGTGTGAACATACTAAGCGGAAAGTTCTAAACCGCGCGCCGTCCTGAGCAGCGTGCTGACCTCTTCTGCCCCGGGTCCCCAGCCACCCACACGGCCAGGGCTCGAGGGTGCGGGCCCACCTGGAGCAGGTGCTCTTCCTCCTGACACAGCAGAACTGACAACCGTGCCACTGCCTCGGGCTCCCACGGCGGCCCGAGGAGACGGTGAGGACGTGCAGGAAGGCAGAGGGGCCACGTTCACGTGAGGTACCGCAGGCTGCGGTTGTAACTCTTCTATTATTACTCATCTCCTATCGTGCCTAATTCTTGCAGTTCGTCACAAGTATGTGCATATAGGAAAAAACGGTGTATTCGGGGCCCAGGACCCCCCCCC